GAGTTGTGGTGCTAGAGAGGAGCATTGATCATACCATGGACAGCCAAGGGAACAAACAGATCTGTCTTGGAGAGGGTAAAACCAAGTTTCTCCTTGAAGGCAAGAATTTTGAAGCTTCATCTCACATACTTTGGGCACCTGGCCAGGAAGGACAGGTCCTTGGAGGAGGACAATAATTGGAAGGGTGGAGGGAAAGTGCATGAGAGGAAGACATCTGATGAGTTGTATTGACACAGTAACTGGGGCGATGGGAGTAGGTGTGTAGGAATTAGTGAGACTGGCTCAAGGCAGGGCAGGATTCAGAGCTGCTGTACATAGGGTCACTTTGGGTCTCAGGTGACTCAACAGCATATAACAACAATAACAACCACACCATCTATTCCAAAAATTCTTCTGACAGCTGAGCTCTCCGTCCCTTTGCTAACTTTGGAGGTTCACCTTCAAGGCAGACTCTCTTAGCACCCTCTACTTTTTTTCAGCAGGATATCTCATTCCAGGGAATAATTCCTCCTGAAGATATGCTCAAAGTAAGTGGGTCAGAGAAAGAGAGAATCCTCTGAATGAGATGGATGCTGCGCAAGGTCAGAAAAAGAGAGGAAGACCTTCAGTGTAACAACTGACACGATGCCCATCACAGTGGGCTCGAGCAGGACAGAGATCAGGAGGATGGCACAGGATAGGCCAACCTTCAAATCTGTGGCCCATAGGGTTGCGAGGAGTTGTACTCAACTATACAGCACCTAACAGTAACTCCTAGCACTCTCCTTGGTCCCCTGCTTGCATTGGCAATTCACTCTCTGTTAACCTTGAACTTTAACTTTGGGTGGATGGAAACACTACCCTTGGTGGTTACAGACATGTTGGGCATGTGACAGGAGCTCAGGAAACCTGAGGGTGAGATGTCCTTCCTTGAGCTATCACTGCTGTTATTGTTAGGTGCTGTTGGGTCAGCTCTGACCCACGGCGGCCCCTATGAGCAACAAATCTGAACCGTGACCTATCCATTGCCATCGTCACCATCCGTGATATGTTGGAGCCAATGGTTAAAGTCACTGTGTCATTCTGTTTTGTTAGGGGCTTCCTACCACATGAGATAATGTTTGTTGTTGTTGTGTGTGTTGAGTTGGCTACGACTCACAGAGACTGAGAAGAGCTCTGAACCCTGCCCTATGCTGTGCCGTCCTCACCATCTCCACTACTCTTCAGCCCATTGTTACAGTCCCCATGTCAATCCAGCTCATTAAATGTCTTCCTCTTTTACCCCGAGATTCCACCTTTCCAAGCATGATATCCATCTCACAGACTAGCCCCCTCTAAGAACATGCCCAAAAACTATGAAGAAGTTTTACATTTTATCAAAAGAACAAACAAATCTATCTCCAGGAAGTGCAACTAAAGTGCTCCCAAGACTGAAAGATGGTGAAACTTTGTTTCCCATACTTTGGGTATGTTGCCAAGAGGGGCCGGTCCTTGGAGAAGGATATCATGCTTGGAAAAAGCAGAGGTTCAACGAAGGAGAGAAAGATCCAGAGGGGTTGCACTGACACTGAGCTTCATCACAACAGATATTATGAAGATGAAGCAGGATTCGACAAGTTTTCTGTCTGCTGTACATTGGCTCCTGCTGTTGCTATAGGCTGGAGTGAACTGGGAGGCAATTAACAACAACATCCTCTGCTGCATAGTAACTGTGCAAGTTTCTTGGCTTTGCCCATGTAGAAACATAAGCAAGAATCACTCAGACATCAGCATGCAGAAAGTTTTCCCCAGACAATCCCATTAGGCAAAGGGCTTTGATTGCTCTGGGAACCAGCTCTGTCTACCCTGGGGAAACTGGCTGGCTTCCAGCAGTGGACGGAGGCAAGATGCCCAGCTGGGCGTGTGCAGGTGGGGGTAGGGGTGGAGCCAAGGGGTTTGTCCTAGAGGAAAGCAAAAACTGAGAGATTAGAGAACAAAAGGATTGTAAGGACACCAAGAGTGGGAGAAGAGCATACACAATACCTCCCACAAACATTCCCCCAGGAGCTCCAGGGCCAAGAGAGCTGAGTGAGAGCCAACACTGTGTGGCCCCCGGGGATCACTCCCACCTGCTCCCTGTCACCTGGTATCTCTGCCCTGCTGTCTGCCCCTGACAGGAACTCAGCGACTTTGAAGAAACCACTGTCTGGGCTTGCCAGCTTGTTTATGCAATTTAGCCTCTGTTCTTACCTCTGTTATACATTAACTATGGGTTCCACGGATTTGCATGTCCCAGTAAATTTTAATAATTGTTGCTATTCCTGCCATAGCAGCAGGGGACTCTAGTCATGTTTGTGGGTGATGGTGATGACTGAGCCCTTTTGAGCTGGTGTCTCTATTTTAAAGTGATTGTTCCTTCAAACTGGGGAAGAGGGTGTCTCCTGGGAGCACTGGACAGACAATACATGCTTTTGAAACAGTACAGTAAGATTTTAACACTAAGAGAATCTTTTTTAAAAAAGCACAATGTTTTACCATTTCATGGGGAAGCCTGGAGGACATTATGCTGAGTGAAGTATTTCAGTCACAAAAGGACAAATAGTGCATCACACCACTGTTATTAAACAGGAGAGAGACTGGGGATTGCAGAGACAATGGGGAGAAGGTGGATAGATCATAAACATTGCATTTGATCAGAGGAGGGGAAGAAGTGTTCAAAAGGAATATTATGAATAGGCTTTATATGTATGACAACAATCTGGAAGAAGAGGGCTGGGGAGGGGAAAGAGGAAGAGGGAAGAAAATGTGCAACAATGGGAAAAAATGAGAACATTTCAATGTTTAAAACCCCTAAAAACCAGGCCACACGCCAGCACATTGCTGTGTGGTCAGAACTGACAGCGGAACCTCTTTGCAGGTTGGCAGTGGCTATAAATCATAAGGAGGAAGATTGTCCATGTTTCTGCAGAACAACTGGTGGATTTGAACTGCCTGTCTTTGGGATGGCAGCCCTAGTTCCTAATAACGAGGCCACCAGAACTCCCAAATCGCAGAGGCACCTGCTTCTCCTTCAGTGTGAGGTAGAGAGTCCCAGGCACGTGGGGTTCTTGCTTTGCGGTCTGCACTCGCTGTGCCTTTGAGCCAGATCACTTCACACACAGGAAACCCACAGTCTTCTGCAGGCCTGCCCTGCTCACATTTCCTCGCTTGCACAGTACACTCTCCTTAACTGACCCCGCATGTTTTTTCCTGCCTTCCTGACCCACTTGTTATCGCCTTATAATATTCCCAGGATGCCAGAGACTTCGGTGCCTGTGGCTTTTGCAGCTGCAGGCCCTGGAAGGGCACTGGGAAGTGGGGGAGGACACTGGGATGGGGGAGGCCCGTGAGCTGGGGGAGGGTCCTGGGCTGTTTGAAAAGGGGCTCTGGGCTGGGGGGCGGGGAGGGCTTCCACGTGCGCAGGGTCACCTGCTTCAGGGCAAGCATGGCGTGGCCCTCACTCCAGACAGTGCAGTGGTCCAGTGGATTCTGCCCATAGCCCAGACTTCCTTTTAGACAAGAAACGGGCGGAGAGGCATGACTTCTACTTCAGCCTAGGCCCCCGAGGAAAAGAGCATCTCCAGCAAGCACTGAAATTAGCTCCTTGTCTGACCCATCATTTGGAGAATTTACCAAAACACCAAGGGAGGTCTGGTGACCCCGTGGTAAGGAACTGCCTGCCCTGTCAGTGCAAAGGCAGCCCTGGGAATCCACCTTCTGCTCCTGCGGAGACAGGAGAGGAATCAACTTTGGGATGATTATCTGCCTCTGAAAACAAGCTGGAGGGTGGGCTGTGAGTTGTTCCGATTGACAGGATACAACAAGAACCAGAACCCCGGCTCAGAAATACAAGGCGAGCACTTTCATCTTTTAATTAAACATTATGGAGCTATCCAGACAATTATAAGTGTGCTCTTCCTTGCTGACACCAGTGGGAACTGGTCCACCACGGGGTCACATTCTTTCCCCACCTCCCTCCCCAATTTCTTCTGTTTGTTCACTCAAGCAGAGCAGGAGTCTTCCTAGAAAACAAAAATCCTACAAGTTTCCCAGGTTGTAAATCTTTATGAGAGAAGAAGCCTCCTCTTTCCGGGTCCTGGCTTCCAACCGGTGACCTTCAGTTAGCAACCCAGTAGTTTACATACTGGAACACTCCGGTGGCCTAGGGGTAAGAAACTGCGCTGCATTCGCAAAGGCACACAGTTCAAATCTACCAACTGTTCTGTGAAAGGCTGGGCTATCTCCTCCTGTGAGAGGCTGTGCGATGTCTCAGCAAATCTGCTGGAGGGTCAGCTCAGACGCAGTGGCACAAAACCATCACAACCACCACCACCACCACCACCACCACCACCACCTTATACACTGTGCCTCCAGGCTCTAGAGTGAGGGAATATTCTTGCATGATCTTTCAGAGCTGGAGATGGAAGTACATGGTTAACAGAACTGCTCGGTGGCGCCCCCCTCAAGTGGCGTTCGGAGCACAAACCCTCTCCGCTATCCCTCGGACACCCTCGGTCCACTTGCCCACTTGGGAAGCGAAGGGAGGGAGTCCCCTCCGGGCAGCACCCCACGCGCCAGCGCGCCCCGCCCCGCGCGAGC